TAGATCGACACTCTGGGCCCTCAGCAAAGACGTGGTTAGGACACTCAAGAGACAAACCGCCGCCCTACTATGGAGAGGCAATAGCGAGCTCCCAATTGTTATAAGCAGGGTAGCCTGGTCATTAGTGATCCAACCCAAAGACAAAGGAGGCCTGGGCATTCTCGACCTGGACACTCAGGTGGCTGCGTTGATGGTGCGATGGATCAAACGACTGTTTTTTTCACCAGATTTACCCTGGTACACACTCGCATTAGAACAAATTGCTAGATTGGCACCGCAAGCGCCACGAGGAGTGGACCCCCTGACCTGGCTAGAAGACCGATACTGGCCCATTCCGCGGCACCCCCGGGTTGACAGGGCCTCTGTCAGGGGAGCAGCAAGAAGCGACCTCGCCAGGGACGACTTCTGGCCCCGGGTACTAAAAGCTTGGCGCCAGCTGCCGCTGCCAGACAAAACTGTGCCAAACAGATGGGAGTAGGTGATGAGGCAACCCCTTTTTGGCAACCGGAGTATCACTGATAAAAATGGCAGGGTGCATTGTAGCTCGGACCCTCCATGGAACAGCTGGGTCAAACAAGGCATAGTGAGGATAAAAAATGTATGGGACCCGGCGAGCAGAGATTGGAAAACGGCACCACAGTTGAGGGTTCAAATGAGGTACTGTCATGAAATTGAAAGGAACCTGGAAAAACTATTGACATACCCCTAGACTGGGTGCGCATCCTTCGTAGAGGTCCACGGCTGGCGGTAGGAGACTGGGTCGCAGCCCCGGCCGACACAGAATGTCTTGGCAATGTGGTGGAAGTGCGGGCAGATGACTCCTTGATTAACCTCTTCCATAAGGGAAAGGACAATGTCCTTACCAAGCAAACACCGAGAGTAGTGAGGTGGTGGAAGAATGAGGAGCTACACAGAATTCGTGTTTTAAAACACAAGGAAGAATGGATTGCATTTCGCCCTGAAACGACCCTTGCCAAACTCCCGTTCGACCCAGAGGAGTGGCGCTGGGCACCAGCACGAAGAACGCTAACCCATTCAAACATATGCCTCTACAGTTTGTCGGTGAAATCCACTTACCGGCTACTGCGGCCAAAGGTGAATCTCAAGGAGATCGTAAAAGCCGTTGGATAGCCCACCTAAATATAAGTCAAAGGGCTGTCCGCCCTGTCCGGTGGTTCTCAATCATGAGATCTAAACCAGCCAAGTTTGTCTTGCTGCAGTGGCAGATTGAACATTGCTGTCTCCCGACAAACAATTGGCTAATAGACCGCACGTGCCTGGAGCAGAAGGGCCTGGCGCTCCCTTGGTGCAAGTCCTGTCAAACCGGCTTCCTCTCCCGTAAGATCCCGGAGACTATAGAACACGTCTTTTTACAGTGCCCAGGGGCGATTCTCATTTGGCGCTGGTGGGACAGAATATGGAGCCAACTGGACACCGGATCGACCTGGCCATGGGATTCGAGGGCGCTGCTCTGCAAAGCATGGAACTCCCCCACGGACAGCGATTTTGAGAATAACATGTTCCGGCTGGGAAGGAGAGCGGTTATTTGGGCACTTTGGAGGAAACGCTGCACACTCGCCATTGAGGGTGTCCGAATGGAAGGAGAAGAAGTAACAGAATTAATAAATCAGTATGCGCAGCAAGAACTCCTCTCGAGATGGCAGAAGGTTAAACACCAGTTACAGACATATCACTCGAAGAAAGATATTCAACTGGCAATCAATCAATTTTCCAAGGGCTGGCTGGGTAGCGAAACCGGGGGTTGGATTGCCCATATTCAATGGGAAAGCGGACAGCCCCCCGAACAGGAGCAGGGCAACCTCAGGAGAGACTACAGTATCTGCTTCAAGGAATGGACTAAAGAGGACCCGGGTGTGCCGTTGCGCCTGCCAACAGATTTCCCGGATCCGTTCCCCCCCCATCAACTGTCACTGGTGGATATGCAATGGTATGGGGTAGAATAGGATTGTTGTGGGAAAGGGGGCTGCTGAAGAAGGCAGGGCTAATAGATAAGGGGCGCCTCAAGAGGGGATGGGTGACATAGGCAGCTCCATGGGATAGCGGAGCCCCGTACGTGGCAAAGGGGGAGGTGGGGCAATGCAGTTTTATTCAAGGAGGAAGGGAGGAACTAGTTCTGGAGCAGTAGATATCTGGTGCCTGGTACTGGGGCGAAGAGGTTTTCTCCCCCCCTTCCAGCAACCTGCACAGTCAATCCTCTGGCAATCTGCACAGACAATTCTTTGGATGCTGGAGTAATCAATCCTGGCAGGGTTCATAGCTATTTCCTCTTGATCCAGCATATGTTTAGTCTGTTTTCCACTCTGTAAAGGGACGCTGGACCCGTTTTCCAGCAGGTGATGCTCCCCACCAATAGATGGAGCCCCTCCCTGGGTGCTAGTGGTGTCTGTTCTTACCAGCACCACTAGCATTGCAGGGGGTGTGTTTAAAAAAAAAAAAGGGAAAAAAAAGGATGACCAAAATTGATTGAATCCACCGCTACAACATGGAAATATACACTGTTTTTTTTTCTTTTTTTTTTTTTTTTGTATGTGTGTGTGTATGTGTGTGTGT